GGGGGGTCTGAGCTGCGTCCTGGGGTCCGAGCATCCCCCCGGAGACGCCCCCGGCTCTGCGCCCCGGCTGGCGGCAAGGGGTCGGCCCCTCAAGTTCTCCCGCCGCCGGCGGAGCGGCCCGATCCTCTGGGCCTGGAGAATGGGAAAGCTGGCGGGAGGTCCGTGCACGTGGCTCCCCGGTGGGGAAGGGGGCGGGCGGGAGGCGCTGACCCGTGCTCCCCCCCAGGATGCAGCACCGAGGCTTCCTCCTCCTGGCCCTCCTCACCCTGCTGGCGCTCCCCTCCGCGGTGACCAAGAAGAAAGGTGATGTGAGGTCTGGGGGACTGAAGGAGGGCTGGACACGGGCAGGCGAGCCGGCAGCCCCGGGGCTTGGCCGCCTGGGTTCCGAGCCCGGGACCCCAGGAAGGGGCCCCCGAGTGGATCTCTAGGTGCCCCGGGTCCTGAGCCCTGTTCCCGTGCATTTTAGACAAAGTGAAGAAGGGCGGCCCGGGGAGCGAGTGCGCGGAGTGGACCTGGGGGCCCTGCACCCCCAGCAGCAAGGACTGCGGGGCGGGTTTCCGCGAAGGTGCCTGCGGGGCCCAGACGCAGCGCATCCGGTGCCGGGTGCCATGCAACTGGAAGAAGGAGTTTGGAGGTGAGGTGGGGCGCAGGCGGAGGGCAGGGAAGGGGGCGCAGCCTCGCCGACGCCCGGGCGGACCTGTGGAGCGAGGCCACAGCCGCCCGGCTCTGACCCTGGGCACCCTCCTGCCAGCCGACTGCAAGTACAAGTTTGAGAGCTGGGGATCGTGTGATGGGGGCTCGGGCACCAAAGCCCGCCAAGGCACCCTGAAGAAGGCGCGGTACAATGCCCAGTGCCAGGAGACCATCCGCGTCACCAAGCCCTGTACCCCCAAGACCAAAGCCAAGGCCAAAGGTCAGCCCAGGGGAGCGGGGTGGGGTCTGGCAGGGGCTGCCCCCCCTGGGAGGGGAATGGTTAAGCCTGAGGTTTGAGGCCCTGGTGAGACTTCTGGACATCTCAGCACTGTTTTCCCCCGTAGACACCTCAGGTGGACAGGAACTGAGGTCCACCCATGGTGCTCAAGAGACAGTAAATCCTTGTGGCCCCAGTAAGGACAGTCACACTGCTCTGTTGGGGCATCTGGCTTAGAGTCCAGGGCAGGTCTGGGAGGGCTTGGCTTTGCCCCCTGCCCACCCTGCAGAGCATCTGGCCGGCTCTGCCCTTTCTAGCATGGAAGGACTTCACCGTTCACACTTTCTCTGCCCATTACTTTATTCCCAGCAACCCAGGAGGCCAACCCGGCAGAGGTGAATCAGCCACCTCTGAGATGAGGTGGAGGCTGTTGTCCTGGGTTTTGGGGGCCAGGACTTGGAGGGAACTTGAAGACGACCGATCCCCAGGGAAAGATGAAGTGGGGGGAGTGGGAAAGGTCCCGCAGGGAATGGCTGCCTTGTCCCACGGGCTGTCGTGTCCCCTGATTGAGAACCACTAGGGTGCAGAATTTTCTTCTCCCTGATGTATAGAGGGGTCGTTCCTGAGTCACCTGAGCTCTCCTAACGCAGTCTTTCTTTCTTGTTTTACAGCCAAGAAAGGGAAGGGAAAGGACTAGTGACCAGGCCTGAATGCCAAAGAGCCCGGGCCCACGCCCCCCTCCCACAGGCCCAAGATATAACCCGCCAGTGCCTTTTCTTATGTCAGCTTTATCAATCACGCCCTGCCTCTTCCCTTCTCCTCCCCCACCCCACCCCCAAGTGCCCAAAGTGGGGAGGGACAAGGGATTCTGGGCAGCCTGAGCCTCCCCCAGAGGGACTTCCTTCCTGTGCCCCTTTTCTTCTTACCCACAATGATGCCATTACTAAGAAACAAATAAACTCATTTTCTCCCAATAAAAGTTTTTTTTGTTGTTTTTTTTTTAATATATAAAAGCCCCTTCCTGGGGAGTTTGCTGTGGTAATTTGTTGGGAGTGGGAGAGTGTGGAAGGGAGAGAAGGCTGGAGGGAAAGGTGGCTTTCTTGGGGGCTTGGTGCTCCTGGCAGCTCATGGAAAAAGGACAGTCATGAAAATTTCTTCCAGATGCCTTTACTGACCCACGAAAGGGGGCCCCCACCAAGTCCCCTGAGCCTTTCAGTCCTTGTCTCACCAAGGCTGGGGAGGGAACCCACAAGACACTATAGCTGACACTCCCAGGCAAAGGTCCTTTGGTCCAGCCCACTGCCAATCAGGAAAGTTCTGTCCACCGGGAGAGTAAAGATGGGGGTGCCCGGCCGGGTGTGGATCAACGGTTGAGCATCGACCTAGGATCCAGGCGATCAGGGTTCGATTCCTGGTCAGGGCACATGCCCAGGTTGCGGGCTGCAGCTGATCAATGACTCTCTTATCATTGATGTTCCTATCTCTCTCTCTCCC